GTGTACACCGTTTTCTTCCCCGTCCACCCTGTTCGGCCAACTTCCCTCCCTTTCGCCGTCACCTTTTCTCCCTGTCGTATCGAGCCCCGTTCGGTTCTCCCCTGCGGCCGGGTTCGCAACGGGCCAATCGCGCTCCGGAGTGATTCGCTCATATTTGACGCCGACTGAACGTATTTTTAAATAACTCCTATATGCAATCGTTTGTATTTCGTATGTAGACGTTTGTAGTGCAATTAAAAAGGTTTGTGAGTGATCCAGATAATTTTAATTAAATATTTATTAAATAGAAGTTAGCCGGTTTCAAAATTTCAGTGATTCAGTGAACAAACAAACGAATGACTCACAAACCTTTCTAATTGCACTACAAACGTCTACATACGAAATACAAACGATTGCATATAGGGGTCATTTAAAAATACGTTCAATCGGCGTCAAGTATGAGCGACTTCCGGAGTGAGCAGGCGTGCGATTGGTCAATTTCATGCGGCCTAAACCAATCGTGTTGCACGTCGGATCCAGTGTGAATCCCGCATAAGGCCCGCTGTGCCCGCGTTGGGGACCCGGCGCAAAGAGTGAATTAATAGAACGCGGTGATACGTGTCCATATGTTTGGAAATACAATTTCTGAAAAAATGTTGAGTGCGATTGAAGATTGTTTAATAATGTCGATTGCGTGAAATTGATACCTTGCGCCTCCGTAATCGGGCTCCTTTCTTCGACATGCCTCGATATGCTAACCTCCAAAATTGTCGACGAGAAGAGAAAATATCTTTACCACGTTAAAATATGTTTGATTGAGAGGCAGGAGAGACACTTGGGCCGGCGAACAGGTTGTCGTGATTTAACGGCGAGTCACCTGCGAGGGTTGTCCACCCGCGACTTCCCTCTATGACGGTTAAATGTTTACACGCTGCTCACGGCCCTAGCTGAAAATCGACGTGCACGAAGATGGGGGAGGTGAACGTGTCCTTTCAGATCGACACCGACAACCGCGAGAATTTCTCGTCCGTCATCGCGTTCCACACCTTCAAAAAGCAGAGGGACGTCTTTTACGATATACTACGAATTTGGGAGGAGAACCACTTGGTCCCGGGATGGGTGTTCCAGATCGCGCTGGGTGGCAAGATAAGGAACATGTTGACGCTGCACAATGACTGCACCAATTACTATCACATCGCTAAATTGTTCAAGTCGCAGTTGCTGATATCGTGCATACAGAACGGACGCCAAGTAAGCTATTGATATTTTCTCTCCTTGTTGCGTAGCCGCCAACTACCTCGATAATAAAGCAAACGTGTATCGCCAATTGCAGGACGACGTGGTGGACGACGAGAGCCTGAACTTCCTCAAGGCTTTGAAGCATGTCAATCCTGAAAAACTGACGCAGCTCAGCAAGAGATTTGTGACACCCTTGCCGTCGCAGAGCCAGAGCGTCGGCCCTTCGTTTCCTGGCATGCAGGAGTTTTTCAAAGACTTTATATTGCACGCGTTTAATCCGATGTTTTATACGCATTTGGAGAACTATTTTGTACATGAGATTATGGAGCTGAACGACACCCAGTTTGCCAGTAGCGAGATAGAAGACTCTGGTACATTTTTCATTCATTTAACCGACTTCACGGCCGTTTGTGTTCGATTCAAGGTTTCAGGAATCTTCTCTTTTTTGCAGAGACGATGGTTGACGATCAAACGCAGCGGAATTTTATCACTTGTTTGGCCAGCTTGAGACTTCTTGCAAAAGTATTGGGACTCTTGGTGTCCTTGCCGTACAGATCTGAATCTAATACTACTAAGGAGATTATAATGACACAAGTGGAGATAAGAAGCAAAGTATGCGACACGATAATTGTAATCGAACGTTAAAAGTCTGTCTTTCACATTTTCTTTAAATGTTTTCAATCGTTTCTCGTTACTCAGGTGTTGCCATCGCTGAACTTACAAGCGTGTCTGCAGAACGCCGTGGTAGAGAGCAAACTGTCGCTGACGATACCCTGGGTAGTAAAATATCTAGCCATGATGGACGTCGCGTCGCTGCGGCTGCCATATTACAAGCAGATCCTAGAGCTATTGTATTACATTTATCACGCTGTCAATCAGACCGATCTTTCCGCCCCCGATTGCCTTATTTCTCAACAGTCGGCTGTGCTGCTCAAGTCCAGCCTGTGCTGGCTGTTCGAGCTACCAAACTTTCCCAAAGATTTCTACATCGCCTGGCAAAAGACTTGCAAGATCAAGGAACTGAAGGGTCTCAAGAGCCTCAAATACATGGACAAATCCTCCGAGAAGAGGAGGAACTCGCATTCCGCCGACTGTGCGATTCCCGTCAAGAGCAGCCTCGACAAATTGGATATAATTACCGATCGCACGATGCGTATGTGCTGCCCGCGAACGGAATGGAGCCTTTCTGTGGTTCACGGAAACGGGACGAGTTTGAATATTAATTCCAACAAACATATTACACCCGTTACTAGCCAATTACGTAAATTAGGAGGCACCACTCGCGCGAAACACTTGGAGGTACTTTTTTTTGTGTGTATTATACTTGTATTTCTAGTATTGCGCTACTGCGTTACCACGTGTTTACGTTTCTGTCTTGGCAGCTGCAACTCGAAGAAGCCTTTTTCCACGGTCAACCGGCTTCTACTCGAAAGATTGTCGATTTCGTTTCCGAGAGAGTCGCGTCAACCTGCGTGAAACATATATGCAACACGCTATTGACTTCGTCGCGAGAGGCAAATTTAAATTCGTTTAGAAAGATTTTGAAACACAAGAACGTCAAGAAGGACCCGGATGAGCAGGGCGAACTGTCGAGGAATTACTTCAACGAGGCCAAGGTGATATCTGCGCGCAATTATAAGGAAAACTTTAACGTCATATAGAAAGAGCTTAAGCGTTCAAATCGTAGTTTGTATTTAGGCTTTGCTCCTGAGCGATATAAATACGTTGGCCAGCAACGCGTCAAGAGAATTGAAGGATCAGTGTGAGAAAACGATCCCGGCGATTTGCGAGGCGCGAGTCGCGGCGTCGATGGAATCCCTATTGGCGGAGGACTCTCTAGCGCCAGTCAAGGAAATGTGCATCAAGATCACGACTAGAATGGCGATGGAACGAATAAATCAGTGGATTCAGTCGCACATTGCCGGTGACTCCTTATTCATTAAGGACATGGAACTTGAGATTAACAGGTTCTTTCGGAACAACAGTCCCGTGCATTCTAAGCAGGAAAAGCATCACAATACGGATGCTCCGAGCCCTACTGCCATGATGGAGGAGCTTCGGGTAAGAATATTTTGCAAGCTTCAGTTAAATAAAGAATTTGAAACAGACTCGTAAATTATTAATATTTCGATACGTCTCCTGTTTTTCTTTGTAGGAATTGATATGGCATATGTTAGATAAAAATGGCGCAGATCTGACTGTATCATCTATATTAGATATTTTAAACAAACTGCATCAATCATTCAATCAAAGAAGTGATTTATTACCAGGTCCACAGAAAGTTTTGTACTTCCTCAGTTTGGACTTTGCACTGTTTTTAGGTACGTTTAATAATGTTGAAATTCGCCAGGAGCGCGATAGAATTACTTAACCATGGTATTTCGTATTTTCAGTGGCGTACAGGACGGATCTCTTTACGCGAGAAGTCCAGGACAAATTAATTAAGATATGGTCGTCGGACAACCTGAGAAATGACGAGGACGATTCTCCCATGCATAGAATTTTATGCTCCAGAAATATTATGTTACTAATACAACCGCAGAACGACGCAATGTGGCCAATTTTTGGTAAATTTTTGAAGAAATTGTTAGAAACAAAGATACTGGACGGAGACAGTCTGAGCGACCAGTGCGTGGCTTTGTTTAGACAAGACTGGCCTGTGGTAAGTGTACGCGCGATACAATCCGAGTCGTTTCAGCTGAGATAATGAAATAATTGAAATACGTGAAAAATGTTTTTAACTATAAAAGTTAAAGAGTATGGGATATAAAACTGACAAGAGGTTCACGCGGTGTATTTAACGATTCGTTGTTCTAATGCGCCGCTTTAAATCCCCAACACTAATTGTGTAACATCTGCTGTTAACATTGATTTTCTCGTCCACAGCCTTTGTTGAAACTTTTATCCAAGTGCCTGTCCGAGGCCATTGAGGGCTACAAAGCCAATGACGAAGCGACAGAGAAAGTCAAGTATCTCCTTGGCTGGATAGCAGAAACATATCACGAGATTGAATTTTGCGACGACGGCGATTTATAGACTGACGCGTAATAGGTAATTAACAATACTGCGATAATTAGAAAGTATGACCTTGTTGACATAAATTTCTGTAAATATAATTACCTCTTGTGCATATATATGTATATATATATGTATATTGTATATTACAATGCAAAGCATTCTTGTTTTGTACCTGTACGCGTATAATTCACCTCGTGTATGTATGTTACGAGGTACGAATAGTTTACGAGTAGGACACTAAATTTTAACTTTTTGTATACGATGATTAAATACATGACGATTATTTTATAATCGACGTTCACACCGGCAACGTTCCTCCACACCGTGTTGTCCCCATGTCTCCGTTTCTGCGCGTCGAGATAGCTCGTGGAGGTCAGCGCGGAGCACGGCCTCGTCGAAACCTCCGGGACGCTGCTTGCTGTGCGCTCCGAGCTCGTACCTTTTGTCCCTCGCAAATTACGTTATCCATTTTATTCCATTCCCACGACTCCGAATGTTGGACTATTGCCCCGTCCCGTACAATGAAATTAGATGATCGTACCTTCAGGCTCGGCGGACAGTCGTGCTACGAGATTATACGCATTACCGAAGCCACGCTCTGCTATCGAATACATGTAAGTCGTTCATTAGAAAGTCATTTAGCTGAGGTATTTTACTTTTTTTTCGAGACAATTTGAATTTTATCTATCAACAAAAAGTTCGCTAAAGTAATGAATTCTCGTTGGATCTTTATCTCTGGTGATCCAACTTGTTAATAAATGCCGATTGCTAATTAACAAGTATTCGATTTTAAAGCATATTCGCGACTAAGTTTTTAAAAAAGTTGTGTTCCGGTATGCGTCGTAGCTTGGAATATTCGTGTCTCTGAGATTCGCCCCGAGGGTGCTTTTCCATCTTGCTGAAGTAATATAACGCGCACCGTTATCACTGTCAGGCGCACGCTGCGACAACTGAGGGTGTCAGGGTTGGCTATAAATCTCACGGGGTTCGAGTAATTTGTTAATGTGAGACCCTTTATATCAAGACCAGCAAACGCCACAGGGTTTTTTTTAAATATTTTAGCGTAGACTTTACAAATCACAAAATTATTATATTGTGGAAAGGAATTTTTCGTGTTCTGGTTTATCTGTTTTATTATCTAAAGGTAGAACTTTGGTTTTAATTCTAGTTGCAACTAGCATCTGATTTCTCTTCTGTGCGCGAAGGCTGGAAATCAGCGGGTCGATAGTCCTCAAAGACCTGTCTTTCTGAACGGCTGTTACATCCAGGCACATTGTCCTGGCGCAACGAGGATAGTCCTTTTGTCCTTTGGGAAATTGGGTCATCCACCTCCGTTCCATTACCATAACTCTCAATGGTCGTCCACCTTCTCGCCCGATGGTGGTATCTAATCTTGGTTCGTTGCTCGCGAACGAGTGACCACAAATTTTCCGCCTCCGCGAGCGACAGGCAGACATTTCCTTTCATAATTCGTCGACGATTTATCATCGTCTATCGACGGAAGAATTTAAGTCCCATTGAAAAAATAAATAGTAATATTAATTGTATTACTAAGTGTAAAATGTCAATCGAGAGTCCGTAATTTCTCATAGAATTTTCTTCAACAAATACATTCCATTTGAAGGCTCGAATGTATCACTAATTTTGAATTTTCTGGGCAGTTATTTTTTTAACAAATTTTTGACAGATATTAAATGCAAATTATTTTATCTATTTTTATCTCGTAGTCAGGATTAATTTTTGTGAAAAACAACAATATTACAAGCTACTATTTTTACTCTTTACCTTCAAATTAATAAAATTATTTGTAATTATTGGATTATTAAAAGGCAATCGACCCGAAGTTGCGTCAATCGTGAAACTCTGTTAAAATTAATTTGAAATTTTGCAAAGGATTACGTAGTCAGTGATTTCCGCTTGCAGCATGTTGTTGATGAGTTATCTCGCATGCACGAAATATTGTTATTGCCACATTGCGCCACGTGGTGTACCAAAATTCCGTGCCATAAATCCAACTCGCGAGATATAATTTTACTCGATTTTTCGAGCACGGAGACGCGACCCATTTCGAACTTCTCTCCCGTTTGTTTTTCTCTTTTTCATTTCCCATGCATATCGTAACTGTATATACAGTACAGAGATCCGTCGCATTTGGATCTCGGAAGTAAAAACATTCAACCAGATTGCAAAAGCAGGCGCGGATGTTGAAGAAAATTTTCATAGGTATAATATTGCAAAGTGTTTCGGCAATGAGGAAATATTTTGAAACACATTTCTCGTCTTTCCTCAAGTTAATCCAATTAACTGAAAGATATATCTCCGAACTTTCTGCCGATATATACTTCAACATCTTTCGTGAACTCTAATTCTTGACTCAATTAAGAAACGATGAGGGAACTTCGTTGTCTAACTTGGCCAGCGTGGGCGGGAGAAATTAGAAGAATTTCTAGGTGATATTTTTGCAATTTTGCGAGCATACTTTTCAATACATTTTCTCGAAATAATTAATTTAACTACGTTACCCGAACTTGAATCGGAAGAAGCAATCTCTCGATCCAAGAAAGGCCGAGATACGAGCACTAAATATTGTTAAATAAATTCACAGTTCACTGTCGAATTATAGAAAGTAACAGTAGATCTTATAGTTCAATTGATTGCACGGTTGAGTGTACAAATGCTTTTTACTTCTAGAAACATTCTAACTTGTAGCCAGTAAATAAACGTTCAAAAAGTTTGCAAGTTGATGAATCGTACATCGTACAATCGTACGTTGTCGATAAAGTTTCTAAAGCGTTTTGATTTGCATATATAAAATAGAACAATAGTTTCTAGACGCAAAGAGCACACGTTGTGGAATCTTTGCGTCTAGCTGCATTCTATTTTGTAGTCAATAAATACGTTTAAAAAATTTGCGCAAGTTGATAAATTGTCGACAAATTTTTGAAGCGTTTTGATTTGCTTATATAAAACAGAACGTTCCTCGATACAAAGAGCGCACCGATTAGATTCAAACGGTCGAATATTCGGGAATAAAGGCGCGCGTTCCGGCCTTCGAATTTCCCGGGTTTGCTTCTCCACGCAGCGGGTTTTATGCGAAAGCGTCGATTTATTATTTCGGCATCTCGGCGTTTCGCGCAGTGTTTTCGCAATTTTGCGAGGCGCTAACGCGGTTTCTCGGAGCGATTCGGCAAGACGAGGGCGGAATCGAGCGGAATGCCTCGACTCCCCGCTCGGGGATTCGGCAAACTTCACGCCGTGTGACGCGCGTACATGCGCGGCGCAGTTCCGCGCGCGCGTTCGCGGAGCGCGAACCGCAGTTCCTCGCAGTCGTGATCCGCGGTCCGTCGCGTTCGCATTCGCGTCCGCGTGATCCATTCCGGTCGCGCGTCCACCGACCTGTCGTGCGACCGACTCGATCCGTCGTCCGGGCCTCGTTTCGCGCGCGATCGCGGTGCCGCTCGGTCAAGTTGAGTTAACGGTCGGCCGACGCCGCCGCTTCGCTGGGCATCGTCGGCGGTCCGAAGGCGCGATTCTGCGTCGAGAGGAAAGCGAGCGGGGTGACGAGTGACTGGTAAGCCGGTAGGAATCGACAATCATACCGAGGGGACGCGACGCTGACGCACGATAGCGAGGGAACACGGTGAAAATCTTATCGCGTCTCTTCCCGCACGACTCGTAACGCCAAGAGTCGTACGAGGCGGCATTAGAGCGTACAAAGGTTGCCGCGCGTAGCTGTGTTTGACATAAAACTGTCCGCGTCAACGCGAACTCCCTTTCGTCGGCGAACGCTCGATCTCGCCGCGTCGAGATTCACGGGAATCTCGCCGCGACGGGGTACGCGCCGGGCCTCGTCGAGCGCGCGTACCGCCGCCATATTTGCCGGTTGAAACCGGCAGTTGGCACCGCGGCGTCGCAATTTGAATTCGCCCGAGCGCTCCCACGCTTCTCGAACAATCGAGATTCGAATTTTTCGATTCTCACGAAAGTCGAACGACGCCGTACTCGCCGTAGCGGCCCGTTCCTGCCTCGTCGATCTTCTCATCCTTGTGTGAAATTTTGCAGATACGCACGTCGCGCGCGTAACCGGCGCTCACCAGCCCCTCGGGCGGAAGGTACCGGACGACAATGAGTTGGAGCCGGACGCCGCGGGACGTTCCCGACCGCGCCACGGTCGCGGAGTGATAGGGGCTCGAGCGTTCCCCTTGGCCGAGCCGTGCCGGCCGGTGCCGGTCACTCGTCGGGGCACGCGAAGCCGCTCGGCGCTTGGGTATCACGTGGCCGTCACATGGATCGCCCGCCGCGAAACACCAACGACGCGTAGCCGTCGATCCTGCCCCATTTTGTCGACGCGTCCCTGTCAAGAGCGCGAGGTGAGTCTTCAACTCTCTTGTGAAAAGAAGTAGCAGAGGCGATACGCGGAGACAATTTTCTTTCATCCCGAAAATTTTATAATCGTGTCTCAACGCGGCATTGTGAACAATTTTATGAGAGTTTTTGTAATTTTACCGTTTCGCTACCATTTTACTAGTAAAATGTATGGTAAAATTGATAAAACTTTCATACAGTTCTTCAAGACGCCACGTTGTTCTACGGTTACATGGCTTTTGGGGTAAATTTTGAGAGAAAATTCTCTCCGTCTAAAAGTTATGTAATATATCAATAATATCGAATATCAACCAACAGCGTTCAAGTAGAAACTAAGGAGTGTATTCTGTAAGAAGGATGAGACGTGTAAGATGCGTGGGTTGAGAGCAAAGTTGCCTTAATGCAATTTCAGTAAGCAATTGAAATGAGTAGTGGCTTTTTGTCCGTTCGTATGTAAATTCTATATACGTGTATAAATTGTGATCACTTTGGGCAGTTGCAGCGTCAATAGCACGAGCACAATAAAATGGATACGTTTGTGGAAAGCGATATTCGCTGACCCTTGTCGAATGTAAAATTTTTAACTGAAATATTGCAATGACAGTCGTTAATTGCACTTAACGTATTTAAAGTACAAAAGTTGGTGGTCAGCATGTTTTTACATTGACCATTGCCTCGCCCTTAAATAATACTTTGACAGATCCCGTGAAAAAGATTTTGGCAAATTCAAATTGTTACTTTTACCCAAATAATTGTCGATATCTTGCAAACGGTGTTTATTAGAATCTCCGATTAAAGTTTAAGCAGTTCTCAATCAATCACTTCATTACGCTTGAGCGCACGTGGCAAGAAGTGGGACTTGGTTTACAATTATCACCTCGTTCACACCTTTATCGTCATCCCTCCGCACATTGCATCGCGTACGATCGAGTTTAAGCAGTTCCCTTTAAAATGACTTTTATCTGCCTTCAATATTTTCCAGAAATATATGGAGTTTGTAAATACATTGGAACGTGTGCATCTGACTAGACATGAAAGGGGTAAAAGATCATGTCAGTTCGTCGTGCGGCCGAAATATGCAGTCCGATAAATCGGCATCCGTCGTCAATCCATCGCCCGGCGATTCTATAGAAACACGGTGTAAAAATGCCGCGGGAAGTTTCGAGGACGCGTAAAGCTCGGAACGAAATAAAACGCCGCGCGGATATTAACTTGGCGCGCTCGTCGAGCAGCAGAGCTTGAGAATCGCTCGACATTATCCGCCTGCGTATTTTCCGTATGCGTTTCGGCGACGTGCGATTGATCGATACGCGGGACTATCATCGAATCGCTGTTAAACATTACTACGTAGCACGCGGCTGCACCAGTTGCCAACCGGTTGCTGATTGGTATGGTGTTAACGCGACATGTCCCATTTCGCACTTGCAATCGATCGCTCGTAGATCACGTTCGTCGTTTCGACACGTTAGACATTTGGTGCCTCGAAACGCTACATTTCATCCGCTATATGATACATAGACCAATTTCGCGATGCATTTTACTACGACCAAGTGTTAAGTTACGAGAAATAAGTGCAGACTTTTCTCCCTTTAACAATGGAATTGAATTAATTTTCATTCTTCGCGATCTGAGAAAATAAAAAGAAAATTGATCGCCATTAATTACGCTATTTTTAGAGTGCGATCATTTTTTGACTGATATCTTACTAACATAGCGATATTGGCCAAACGAACGATACGAGATCATTAACAACTGTGCGAACGGATTACTTAAAAGGGTGCAAATCTGGGACGTTGTTTAAAAATTACATATCATTGGTTTTAAACTATAATACCGGCGATATTAAATCTATTTAAACGCTATTTTTACTTCAATATCAACAACGTTTTCATAAAATATTATTTAACTATAAATTAAATTTAAGCGCACACACAGATAAAGAAAAACTTTAATTTCGGATTAATTTCGTGTGACCTGTATTTTCGCAGAAATGTAAATTAAATCGGAACGAATTTAATATTAATAATTAAAATATGAAAATTGAAAAAAATACGAGTTTACGTGTAGGAGAATCTTGTGCAAATATTAACTGGACACACTGTGTGCAGAAATGAATTTCGCACAAACGAGGGAAGCATGGCAAGCACGGCTTTCGCGCGCTTTTACATCGTGATTGTCGGATAAAGGCCGGAAGCCCGTTAACGTTTCACAGTTAACGTATACAGCGTGCTTTCCCAGGGGAAGACGTCGTGAGAGGTCTCAAGATGGATGATGAATCGTTATTGCGTGAAGAGTATTGTCGTGAAGAAAGGAAAGCCATGTTATATGCAAAGTTTCTCGCCCTTCACCCAATTAACTTATCAAGTAGAAAGTTTAAAGCATGGGATGCGATTTTAACAAAAATAATAAACGCTTGCAGACTTTTTCTTAAAACAATTCATAATTACTTCAATAATTAATATTCTTTTGTGTTGTATTTGTAAGTGTGTCAAATTTATATGTCAACGATTTAATTGCATCAATTAAATCAATGACTTGTGGTATAAAATTAGAGTCAGTTATATTAGAATTAATGCTTATTTAAATTAATTTAGATAATTTAATAAGTTCGGAATGGTATTGATTCGCTGATAGTATATGCACAGCTTAATAAGAAAGAGAAACATTTATAATGGATCTATGATGGCTGAATGTGGAGGCCAATTGAAGAAATACATAAAAGACCGTTTGCATTCGTGTTCGTGCAAAGTTTGTATTATTAATCGAAGATTTTAAAACGGTTCATTCAATTAAAACTTGATGGTTGAGCTAACAATTTCTAAATTAGCGTACGACGTATTATTATCAATTTCAAAATCTCATTTGCTGGCCAGCTCATGAAAAAAAATTGATTGATTTGCTGCTACGTGGGGGGGGGGGGGAACTTTTCCCCGTACATTGTTGCTCGAAGTTGACAATGCAAATGTTGTGCTCACAATTACAAGCTAATTATGTTTGATCGGCCAACATTTTCGTTGAGTGTATCTTGTAAATGATTTTTCGGCACGTCCACGCGTTCCAGAGTAATGTTCGCGTTCGCATAAATTATAAATACACGTCAAATTCGGATAATAGAATCCAATTTTGTTCGGATAAATAAAATGTATGGAAAACAGAAACGTTCAATTACCTGCGTCAATTACATCGTTGAGCGTCTAGTTATGTCATTTTCGAAATAAAATATACAAGACATATAGGCAACATAAAATAATTAAATATAAAATATGCAATCTATTTTGATCTTTCTTTGTTGAAATTTTCGATTTAACGAAATACGATCGGCAAAATTGCGTTGTCGCGTGTCGGCGTGCGCCAGTAGAACGAATTGAAACAAGCCCGACGGTTGCTGGTGGTCGAGCGAGATCGCGGTTGGCTTGGGTAAATAATTTGTGGGGAATCATTGCGCGGAGAAATAAGACAAGCAAAATTCGGGAGCAATTGATCTTACCACGTTGATCGAAATTTATGAGTCGGAAATGATGTAAGCTTAACACGCACATGGCACATCGGAATAATCGTTATTGCCTCTGCAAGAAAGTGTCCCTCACGCTTACTTCTGTTTTCTTAAATTGTTTTGTAACCGTTGGAAAGACACGTAGAGAGATAATTGACGTTTCAGTCAAATGACTGACGTCGTTTTATTCTTTATATTTAGATGCAATTAAAGTAATTTTATTTCTGGCAATCTTAAAAGAAATAGTCACGCTCGTTTTTGAGTGATAACAAATATTCACCGTCACGGTCAATGTATTTTACGAGCAAGAGTGGGCTGTACAGTTAATATAAAATGAAAAATTTTATTTTACATAACAGTATCGATTTGAAGTGAAATTACAAAACAGTTGACAATTGTACGCGTTTCGACACTGTACTGTCTTCTGGTAATTTTGTATTATAAATATTTTTCTGACGAAGCAATGAAATTACTATGTTCTATACAATATAAAGTGTTCTCGTTCTGGTAACGCTAGACCAAGGTTTACAGTCAGGACGGTATTCTGATATCGTCCAGAGACATAACAGTAACACGAGCAGCGGCCCGAATATATTACACAAGGCTGCTTTCTCGGGTGCGGTAATCTCTGATATCCCCAGCGTTTCGAGTTGTCAAAATCCGCGGCCGCGAGAGTTAATGGTCTCCGTTGCTAATTAAAATTTGCGGCGACCGAGGCCGAAGCTGTTGCGGCAAACGTTCGTCCGGATCGCGGTAAACGTTTATTAATTTGTTTCTGCCTTTAGTTTAACCGGAGCCGGGGTTAATGGCGAAAGTATTCGCGCTGCCGCGTGCATTAATTTAATGTCACTTAATTAAGCCCACTTTCCATCTTCCATTAGCTTCCTCTTCCCTTAATTAAGCATGCGGTAATTAAAAATTGTAAAGCGCGAGTGTCTCTCTCCCTTACGTAAATATAAATTAGCCTTTCTTTCCCGATTGTCTTTACGTTTGCTTTTCATTTGTATTCGTGCTTAGTAATTGGATTTACTCTGTTGCAGATGTTGGCATAACCGCGACATGGAGACGCTATACACTGGCGCGATTCACAGTTTTCCGCAGCCCGGCGGCGGAATAGCTAATGGCGTTTCCACGGGAATCGCAAGTTCCTTCGACCAGGACGGCGTGCTTAGCCTCATCGTCGTCCTCGGAGGAAGTCTGTCCCTGGTGGCCCTGGTGTTTGCGTTCATCACCTATAGGTAAGTCCAACTTCAGGCGGACAAAGCGTCCATTTAATAATCCGATATGATGGAATTTTCTCTCGAAAGAACTCGCTGAAGAATATTTCAGTAATTATAAAATAAAATGTGATGTGCGACAGAATTGTTCCAAAACAGAGTAGCAGAAAATATGATAATTATTTATGGTATCCGTAATATTAGAAAAATTGCGTCTTCATACTTTCTATCTCTCGAGATACAATTATCGCGCGGGAGACTGTTCTCTCGTTTAATTATTATCAGCGGAGAAAGGAGAGCTTAATGAAACGTCGATTAATTAATCTTCACGTCCCGCGATTCTTTTTATTCTCGCTACGTTCCAGATTAATCGTTTGTTATTTGTTATTTTATATCGTTCCGTACGTATTCCTAGATCTCGACGGAGAATTTAATCGGATTAGTCTGCAACAGGATGAAAATAATGATACCGTATCTCGTTCTCTTCTCTGTGAATTCCACTAAAGGCACAGCGGTTAGCGATATTACAAAAAGGAAAAGAAAAATTCAGAATTTAGCGATGGTCTGTTAATTCCACGTTTTCCATCTTTGCAAACTACCATACCGTTATATCTTTTGTACAGCAGTTTATCTGAGAAATCGGGCAGAAAATTCTGGCGTTACACTGGTCACGTTTTCTCTATATCCTTCTATTTTCGGCACGTCGGCGATTTCGCTCGCGGTTCTTATGGATCGCCGATTCGTTCGTCACAGAGCTAATCGGTGTACCTTTACGTTGAAAGACGATACCGCCGGAATACTAAACGACTTTACGACCACTTCGGCCTCCTTCCGTGACCTCATTCCCGCCCTTCGTCCAAGGGAATTTCTTTCTTTTTTTCCTGCGTTTTTCCCCGCGATCTAATTTCTCAATATCGTATTTATGGCGAGCGGGCGACTTTAGAAATTTTATCCTGCCGATAATCGAAAAATCGATGGTTCCTCTTCGTCATAACGAAATTCCGACCTTCACCTTCAAACGTGAATTAAGTCGTTGACAAAGAAACGAGAATGCTGCACGACACGCGGAGGAAAATCGGTAAGAAAGAGAGAGAGAGAAAAAGTTTCGTGTGATTGATCATGTCCCATTCCGGAAATTGCCGGGAAATGAGAAAGCGCAACCACGACGTTTTCCTTCGCGCACGATTCGATCGATCGGGGAGAAACTGGCGATCCTCGATACGGTAGAGGAGGCTGGACAAAAGCTATCGTCGTAAATGGCGTCGATAAAACGTACCGTTCCTCACGATGTTTTATCCCATTCTCCTACTCAATGTAAATCCTTCCCATATTTCGCTTCCGAGAGATTTCGATATATCACGAAAATCGAACGAAAATTTCCTCGTATAATGGAGATAGTCACCGATATCGGAAAATATCCGTAGATATCGGTACAATATCCACACTTTCCTTCCGACATCTTTACATTTATAACAGCTGGGAATAATAGCGAAGATAACTCCTCTCGCCCTTTTTTTCAAGGCGCCAAATTAGCGAAGGTGCGATAAGCAAAAGTAAGTTGTATGCGTCCATTATGAGAATTTTCCAATTTTTTATCGAGTCTCATCGAGTTCAACAGGTCTCCATACGCTTTTCTACCGGGGTTTTGAACTTATAATGCAGTTTCCTTGCTATGAGCTTGCTGAATTCCGATATCTCTAGCGAGACGAGTTGACACTTTTCATCAATTATTATTATTCTATCTTTAACGATATTTTGCTGGCGTTATTACTCTGTTTTAGTTTTATTATTAATTTAAATAACGTTTAAAGTTAAATAGGACCATTATGATATAAATCAAACAAGCGAGAGTGGTTTTAGGCCCGAGCAAGATATGTTGGCAGCCCATAATTGTAATCTAAAATGTGAATTCATGTACCGTCGTCCACCTTGTCCTGCGCGCCGGTTTCTTTTCGGATGTATGAAATTCCGCGATAAAGATTTCGCAGGGATCAATCTTGGCTGTGAAAAGGAAACTAAATCTTCGCAATTACGGAGCAGCATTCTTTACTGAACAATTTAAGTTTTTAGCAGTTGAAACGATCATAAGTATGAATAAACTTGATAGGGAATCTGAAAAGAAATCGAAAAGACTTCTGATATTCCCCTCCGATCTATCCTTTAGGCCAGAGTACAGACCAGAGCCGTCAAGGATGAAAACAGTCTCGGATTTAGTTTTATTGTATTTTATACCAAAGAAGACATCGTAAATCGTACCTTTCGTTCGTCGGAGGATGCCATACAACCAACGGAAGTCTTCACGAGGATTCAGCGATCACACGATGATATCGGTCGCTGGTTGTTCACAGAGAGCGATCGCGATTTCTTCCCGCACTTGTCGCGAGCGCGTAAAGAATAATACAAATATGGTATACGGAGCGGCGCGGGCCGCTAACCGAATTGTTTACGACGCTACGTCATTTTCAATTCTAAGAATTTTCGGTTTCGAGAAATGACGTAGCGCCGTAAACACTTCGATCGATAAACCGTCTATTCTCATTGTATCAAATCAGTCACGCGGCGATAGTCGAACGGATCGGTTGGCGGCCCGCGCCGCTCCGCATGTCGTATTATTTTTTACGCGTTCGCGACAAGTGCGGGGAAAAAATCGCGATCGTTGAATCCTCGCGGATATCTCGCGTGATTCACACATGAAATCTGTACGTCCTCAAAGCGTTAGCTAACTTGAAATCACTTCTTCATCGCGATAACAACGGACGATAATTATTTCTTTAGACAATGTGCGTATTCGGATACATCTCGTATCGGCGCATTCAATCTCTCGTCGCTTCGGGTATAATTTGTTGGCTGCTTCTAAGTTGAAAGCGCGAAATAGTAGTTGCAGTGATTTAGTTTTCTTTTCATTCTCACAGCCGAGATTGATCCTTACGAAAGCTTCATCACGGAATTTCATACATCCGAAGAGAAACCGGCACGGAGGAGGAAGGTGGAAAACGGTATGTGAATTCACATCTCAGATTGCAATTATTGGGCGACCAATATCTTGCTCGAACCTAAAGCCACTCTCGCTTGTTTGATTTAATAATATTTATTTCAACATTATTAACTAATATTACTAAGGAATTTATTAAGCTTGCTAAGTGAATTTCCAAGCGTAGACATTTTTGCAAGTCCATTTTTGAGAGCTCGCCATTTTACCGTTGGCCACAAAACATTGTATAACAATTAAGGAATGAAAGCATCGTAGCCGCGACTTTCATATTTATTTTTCACTAATGAAGTTTCTTCTCTTCTCTCCCTCTCCCTCAAACGCCAGCTTCACTTCTGCTTCAGTGGCTAACTAGATTCGCGGCAGGAATAATTTCGCGCTCGAAATATTATATTTTCTTAGAGAAAAATATAGTAAAAGCTGGGCGGAGGAGTCGTTCGGGTTAGTTGGTGGGATAGACCGGTCAGATAATCCTCGTGTCTGCAATAATAATAAAACCGGCTTTCTTTCTTTCCCTCTTTATTTGATTTGCCGCACGAATTCCGTTCTTTTCCGCTTTTTCTCCGTATTTTCCGAAGGAAAAGGGAAAATCGCTCACTGTCGACAGTCACGTTCGTTTATTCACGTTACGTATATCTAACGATATTTCAATATCGCGAACGAACTGTTAGTTTTTCATTACAACGGTACATATTACCTATTTCCATTTCTTTGTTTATCACTTGTCTATTTTTTACTATTCTTTCTACTTTATTACACTGTGGTTACTTCAATCTATTTATCTGTCCATGTCGTTAAGAAAGTGATTTTACGTTGCACTTCCTGCATTTTGATTACTTTACCTTATGCTCATTCTTAGATTACGTATGCATTTCCAATTTTTTTTTTAAATGCGATGGACGATGCAACGTTATATCACCCGGAAAGATAAGCCGTAGCTGTTTCATATATGTATTATTTTACAAATTTTAATTTCTCGAACAATAAATGGAGGGTATAAACGGAGTACTCGACCTTGTTACAGCAGTTCCACCGACATGAGAGAACGTTTGATGACGTTCCTGCGTAAATTACTTGCGGTCAGAGCTAAATTCAAATTGATATTTAATCAGTGATCGATGATATTCAACGCGTATTCAATATCGCTCATTGATACCATACTCATTTATTTCATCAGCGATTGGTGTCTGACAGCTTTCGGAACTGGCCTCTATTTTAAAACGATTCTGTTTTGCATAATTTCCTTTTTAAACTTTAGTTTCATTTTACAGTATAATTACCGGATTATACGATATGAAGACTCGGTTATTAAAATTCAAATTTAAATAGTTAATCTTTTACAAAAAGAGAGACTCTTAGAGAGAGGAGATGGAAAAATGGGTTATTTCGTTTTTTTTAGCACTTTTTAGATTGCAAAAAATGCTTTGGTAATTATTTATGTAATATTAAATTATTTACAAACCGTTGAAACATAAAATTGACTAGATTCAACGATAAACAGTTTAAGGTGTACAAATTTCCTATATATTATAATTGGGGGGGAAAAAAATGTATATTCTAATTCCGACAAGATGATTATTGGATCTGAAAATTACACAGGCGAATGTGGCGAACAATAGAAATTAAATGACGTTTACAATTCCGGTTACGGAGATTACGACACTCGCTTCGAGTGCCGGGTGAATGCTTGAGAGGTGAATAAAACTGAATGCTGCAATATTACACTGTAATATCTGGAATGCAATATTCCGCGCGACGACTTCCCATACGGGCAGTATTTTAATTTCCGTTATTCCGTTGCCTGACTGGGCGGATTCGTGCGAATATACACACCCACATACGCGCGAGTCCTTTAAATATGGGCTTTTTGCCGGACGCTATTGTGGAAAACGAGATTACGATGTACATCCAGTAAGCTACCCGTACATTATGATGGTTACAAATTTAATGCTTCCATTTCGAGCGCGTGTTAATAGGTTAAGCTCGCCTCACAATGCAGCGTAAAAAATTTTTAATTAAAACTACCTCACGC